CGAATCGACGACCTGTTGGTTAAACTTCGAACGCCCTAAATAAGAAGTTTATGGCTACTTAACGTTTACTGTCGAACTTATGTTAAAGGAGGCCGTAACGCTAAATTGAACATTAACCGAACTTAGTGATCCATTTTAGAATCAGCTTATCTTGAAAAATAAATTATTTATTCTGAACTGCCCTTGCCCAATAGCTTATACCTTATATACAGACTAACACAGCGAAACTGAAAGTTCAAAACGTGCATTTTCCTGCGTGCTGTGTTTTAACCGCCGTGAATAGTTTCACGCGTGTTCTATCATACGGAAAATTGGCGCGGTTTTGATAAATTTTCCTGTCAAAATTTTGAAAAATGTCGCGCGTGGCGCTGATCACCTGAGTAGATATTAAGGGAGCAAGGGGCAGACGAGAATATCGGCCTTTTTATTCGAAGCGTGGGATCGTTTTCGGTCAACCGGTGCCTTAGATACAGAGCATAGTAGCAGGTCAACAAGCATGTGAACCTCCCGACTCTGCTGGCAAAAAAGTCTGTATCAACATTTCTGTGTAAATAAATGCAAACAGAGAAACCAATTAATTGACGCCCCGGCTACCACTTAATTCGATGTGCAAGTACATTGTCTGTGAAAGGTGTCCTTGAAAAAATGTTCTCTCAGTTTTAATTTTCCAGATTAAATCAAGCCACATTCGGTTTTAGCTTCTGTTGTAATATTTTATTCGAAGTATACAGGAGTAATTGAGTTTGTGTGTTGTGATAAACAACTTCTGTTTACTTAGGAATAATGTTGGCAAAACGCAACCATTTGTAGAAAGGGAAATCATCGTGGCAGTAGTATCGTATTTGCGTGATATATTCTTTTCGTTGTGTATATGAGTTTATACACGCGCCCAGCCAACAATCATACAGGAGCTAGCACTCGAGTCAAAATACCGTTACCCAAAAAGACGGAAAGATTTACATGATAGCTTCAAGCTCGTTAGCTGTCATCTACCAGCCACCTCCAACTAAAGATCTCGGAAACTCTGAGGCCCGAATCGACGACCTGTTGGTTAAACTTCGAACGCCCTAAATAAGAAGTTTATTGCTACTTAACTTTTTTGTCGATTTATGTTAAAGCGTGCCGTGAAACTAAGTTGAAGATAACCAAATCTGAAGACCTATTTCGGAACCAGCTTACCTTGAAAAATAAATTACTTATTCTCAACTGCCCTTTACCAATAGCTTCTACTTTAAATACAGACTAACACAGCAAAACTGGTAGTTCATGATGAAACCAAATAAGGAAAACCCACATGACTACTGCTCCCATATAATCAAAGCGGTGTTCAGAAACTGTTGGTTTAATAAGTCCGAGGAGTACACGGAAGCATATGTTTGCCTCGCCAACCGCCGCATTCGAGTCATCATAACGACACCGAAAGAGCCAAAGAGATTAAAATGATAGTTTCTATCTGGCCATTCATCATCTACCAGCCATATCTAAACAGAAATCTTAAGTCCCGAACTCACGACTTGTTGGTTACTATTCAAACGCCCTAAATGAGAGCCTTAAGTCTACCTAACATTTTTGTCAATTTTATGCTAAAGGAGGCCGTAACGCTAATTTGAAAATTACCCGAATTAGAAGATTTGTTTAAGATCAGCTTATCTTGAAGAATGAATTAATTTTTCTCGACTGCCCTTAATTTAATCCTTTCCAGTAGTGTATACCTTAAATACAGACTAGCACAGCAAAAAAAGTAGTTCTAAGTGAAACCAAATAAGGCAAACCCACATGAATCCTACTCCCGTATAACCCGCAGCAGTGCTCAGAAACTGTTGGTCTTATAAGTCGGAAGAGTACATGGGAATATATATTTGGAGTGGGAAGGAAGGGAATTTGACACGGCATGCAATATATCTTGTAAGGATTCTAGTGTGCCACACTGCAGTTATCCCTTTCAGCCTCTTCGGGGGCGGGGGTCTGATGAACGCCGTACACCATGCCTTTGTGCACAAAGACGAGGTTGGTGCCAGGTTTGTGAGAACAGACGGACCAGTAGCGACCATCGGCCATGAAGACGTTCCAACCAGAACCGTAAACACGCTCAATGCGTTCCTTGATTTCCTGCAGTCTATCCTGTGTAAGGTACAAAAAATGGAAAGTTAGCTTAGTAACTAGAATGAAAATTTTGGAAATTTGGACGTGTTTTATCACCAGTATGAAGTCCTGAAATAGTCAATTAGTAATTTAAATGCACTAGTTAATACTACTACTTCATGTAAATAAACTGCCCCAGTATTTGCCTTCGAAACATGTTCACTTTACGGAACAATAATTTCAATTTTCGAATAATAAGTACTTACTTGCTTCGACTTCTTCTTATGGGTACCGTCAAGGATCAAAAGAAGAATGGATTCCCTTTTCTTTGCGGACATGTCTGTTGTCAAAATTTCGACTTCGCGAAGAATGGCGGGCCTATAGAAATAAGATAGGTCAAAGCCCTGATTATTATGCTAATAACATTAGAATAATTTTGGACAACGTGACTTTAACCTTATTTTAAGGAAAAGTTAGCAGGTTGTTTCTGCATTTATTTATAATAAATAAAGTGTCCTACAATTAATGCACCACAATATGATGCAATGTGACTCACGGATTAGGATAGCAGTTGAGAGCTGTACAGATATCTTCTCGTTTTATAAATCCAGTTCGTTTAGGGTCAAACCTGGCGCAGTAGTTCTAAAAGAGACGAAAAAGGCTGTTTTAAGCAACAATGATTTACTAATATATTTGATCAACTCAGAGGCATAGTATTTTTAAGGAGCAGAGTAAGAAACCATGAATTCTTCCAAAGGATTATTCAGATACCCAGCAAGAAGAAGATTTTTTGATTATTTTTTTCTTATTTTAAATTGACATAACTTCAATATATCAGAGTATTAAAATATTGGTGAGTTTATTTAAAACGCTACTCAAGAGTTTATTTAAAAATGTATACTTACTGCTGCCGCGGATTCGCTTACTCCCCATTTTGTGAGGTATGCCCGATACTCCTCTGTTTTGAGAACTAAAAGCAAAAGTTTGAAGAATAAGGAACTAAAGTTAAAACGGTGAAAAACTACAGAAGCTATTTAAATATTTGCAACTTTAGTGTCAAAGAAGTGTTTCAACGAGGGCTACAGAACCAATTTTTAATGTATCAGCTCACAAATAAAGAAGAAAAATTTGGAAAAAACTATCTCCTGCACCCTGATAGCTATGAGTGAATTAAGCGCTAGATATTCTTTAACGTCCTTAATTACTGAAGGTAAATTTATTAATCGATTGTACATCTCTATTTGCAGATATATGTAAAAAAAGAATAAGCGCAAGAGGAGAACGCCTACCAGCCTGAGCCTCAGTTAGTTCGTCATAGAAGTGCACAAGTCGGTCGGGTGAGGGTTCATCCATGCTGTTGGATATGCAGCACTAAATCTGATGCCGTCGATGGACCCAGAACAGTTTTATATGCCAGCGACAGCCTGAGTAGCACGTTACTCGAAAGCAAACAGCATGTCGGCTGACGCACGCGTGGGTCTTCGCCAATCTCATGCAAACCTGTAGGAGCCTGAAAAGGCTTTTTTGTTGGTCCCTAGACGCTGCCTCACCTCAGCGACGCATGCTTTTGTGGGCGTATGCGTCTGTTCTGTGCTTCTGTGTGCGCAAACGCTCTCAAACGGAGCTGCGAGGCAACATGCGAATCGATTAGACAACCAACTCATTTCACAGTGACTAACAACTCAGGTGATGAGCGTTCCAATCTCGGAAAGATTAGCGTTGGTGCACTAACAGCTCGGAGGCAAACGCTAAATAGGCAGAAAATTACAAAAGTGCCTTATGATTAAGATGTGGAATTTCAGCTTTTCGATCTTAAACGAAAAATAGGCGTCAGATTCTCACAGAGAAAGTCAATCTATGGACAATTCATCTGTTCTTAGGAAAACGTCTTTAAGTATGATTAAATGGAGGGCTTTCGGCGTGCTCTAGTAGCTCAGTTTGTAGAGCGTTGGCTGTACTAAAGTCTTCCCTGTTGAGGTGAGTTGAAGTCTCACCGGGCCACACATTTCTCAAAATTGGGTCAACTGCAGTCTCAAAGTTTACCATTTAAATTTTTCTAGATCCATGACAATCTTAGTACGTAAAAAGAGACGAAGCCGACCCTCCCAGTTTTATAGTATGCCCTTCATTACGATTTTTGTCGACCAACAATGCTCAAGCCATTTTAATGAACCTTAGTTAATAAACTCATAGTGGGGAATAAATACTCATATTGTTAGAGGGGAAACGGCATATGTCTCTGTCAGTCTCCAGTTACATGAATTGTTTATGTCAATTCTGAAATGCGCATTCCGTTAAGAAGGATAAATTAAACGGAATTGTAAGCATAATAGTAATTTAGCAAAATGCCGTAGAGAGGGTATTCGCTTTTGGATTAACTTTTTGTCGGCCGACTGCATAAATTCACTGTCCCGTAATGACTACTTGATTTGTGTGCATTTTTCTAGTGTTTTTAAAGGCTCTTATAGATTCGAACATATTTGATGGAAAGCACGAGCAAAATATTACGTACTGCATGCATATGGGAACAAATCACGTCGTTGTTATATTGTTTATTCAAGGGAAGAGCTTATTTAGGTTTAAAAAACGTTTTCAAATTCCCGAGTTATTTTGAGGACTACATGTCGTTATATTTGACTTTACGGTGTTTATTCTAGAAACTCCGGGATTCCCGTTTTATCCCAAACGTTCATGCCTGTATCGCATAAAAAATATACTATTTAGTGCCCCTAATACTCCTCATTGGATGCAGGATATCTGTTTTACTACAGTTTTAAATAAAAAGTGCCGGTGCTATTTGAACTGGTATTTCAGAGTTCTATGGAAATGTCATAAATATAACTTTTTAAAAAATAAATGACAGGACCTCTTAGAGTGTAAATTTAGAACAAGGCGTAGTTGAATATCATATAAGATCAGTAAGGGATATATAAATATATGTAATATTGATCAAAATATTTTAATTTATCGGGACGATATAACAGTCGAAAGAAGT